TGAATAATAAAAAAGCTTTTTAAAGAATTCTAACAGAAAAAGAGGAAAGGGCTTGAAGTCACACTACGCGATAGGCAGAATCTCACAACCTCTGTACCTCTCTTATTGGTCTTTTCGTACTTGTGAAATGGAATAGAAGACGGACGCCAAGCGAGAAAGGTACCAAGGCTTGTAGTCTCCACCCATCGGACTATCGCGAAATGTGCCTGTATTCAACAAATGGGTAGGCTAGATGAACTCTCAGCCTGCAGCGTGGAACGACGTGAAGGAAATCGCCAAGAGCGCCCGCGTGCGGTTGCGTAACGTAGTGGTGAGCAAAAGGAAAGCGTGGCGAAACACGTAAATTCCCAATGTACCAATGCTTTTTATTCAGCCCCTATGACACACTTTGCAAGCAAAGTGTAAATAAAAAATAAATGGACAAATAGACAAAGATTTAGCTCAACATTCATCTTTTCCTTATTACTCTTTCCCCTGTAATTTGAAATATGTTCTTCCTAACAAAGAAAGCAAATTTGTATGTGAATTTAAATTTGTATGAGACTATGAACTTACATTGAAGTAAAGAATCTCGTTAGGGGTTTGACAGGTCATTGAAGGGAAGTAGAACTGATAGGAACAGCCATCACGCCAGATTCCATTCGAATTATATACCTGAACTTTAGTCATACAGTTGAAGATAGTTCCCTAAATTCAAAGCGTTGTTCTCTATCTTCGAAAGCGTCTCTCCTCTTTATCTGCAAAGCCTGCGATCTAAATAGATATTCAGCAGGGGAAGTTGGAGCTGGAAAAGAGGCAAATGGCGCCGCTACTGGATACATGGCCCGGGTTCTAATGACAAGTTTCGCGATCAATCGTCGGAGAGGTTGTAGGTAGAGGGTTGAAAATTCTGACGCGATACGTGCGCAAGGTTGTCCATAATACCTTTCCCATAGAGAGCTTCGACACTCTACACCCCAAAGACAGAATGGGCGTGGTTGCGTACCTCATTTGAATAAGGCATTGGCAGTGCTTTAGCACTTCCGCTCTGACAATGAGACGATTGAAATCATGTCCTCGTCCAATACAAGAAAAAATGGCAGTCATCTCAAAAGGAAAGAGCCAGCTAAGAAAGCATCTCACGTCCTGTTGGAACGAAGTGCGCGACCACGCCCTCCCCATCTTCGGGATATGCAATGCAAGTGATCGCGAACGTGCTCTTTGAATCGCTACCCGATTTTACCCAGATCAACTGGACGTTTCATTCCTTTTGGATGGGATATTCCATAATGGACCCTGGCAAAATACGTGTGTGCTTGGGCCTGGTGGTTGTCTTAACACATCTAGCATTTGAAAGAGAGAACGACTGTGAATAGAGGTCGGATGCGTGGCGTATCCCAGAATGGATCGATGACGAACAAGTTAGCCCTTCTATATAAAAATAGGATCATGGGGTGTCGTCGCGGAAATGCATGTTACGGCAGGAGACGTGCAGGGTGTTTCCTTCCTAGTTGACGTCACCTCTTCGGATTAGTTCGCTTCTGGAGCGAGTGCGGCGCATGTGTCATTTACGAATCTCCTGACCAATCCTGGTCAGCTGAGGAACTAAAATTGGAATTCTTAGGGAACACACCAGTTCCACTAGTTGAGGAACTATGAAGCGCGATTTTTCGGTCACCATTTCGTCAACTACAGGCCCCGAATAATGTCGAAAACTAGTTGTCCTACCGTAACAGCTTTATTATCTCGGATGGCTCTGATCGAGAGATAGGTCTGAACTCGTTCAGGCATTCCATCAGGTCGATAATTGGTAAGATGCATAACGATGCTTCGACCCATTCCGAATTGTGGCTGAAGAAGTGTCTGGTCGGAGTTGATTTGTGGTGCAACAGCCCAAAACAGATCGTACTGTTCGCTGAGTGATACTGAAAAATCAACATAATCAATAATTGTGGCAGGTATGTGATAATAGTGAGAGAATTGTAGTGATAATGTAAAGTCCTACCTATACTATGGTACGACTTTTGCAGAACTTTGAAGTTGCAGCCGAGGGTTTGATCGGAAGTCCAGAGGGAAACAAGCCAATTGCCGATATGTGGGCCATTTTTTTTCCTGAAATAGTTAGCAGACTGTTAAGCCCTAACACCGAACAGCCCACAGGACTCGGCTGCGAGACGGAACGTTTCCCGTGGAAACGGACAAGACAATCGCAGTTTGCCGCGTCGTCGCGCGCGGCTACCCTGCGGTGCGCGGCTAATTCTCAGTGTGCATAATTTTGTGAATTGTAGCAGCGGAACTCATGTAAATTGAAGAGTCTATCCTGCGAGGTGTCGATCCTTCCCGTCCCTTGACCATTTAAATTTGAATGATTTGGCAGGACAACTCGTCCGCGGCGTCGCTCATCACGCCCTGCGGGCATATTACGATTGTCTTGTCCGTGCCTCGCTCACCCACCAGATATAGTTGGTTCCATCATCGTACACTTTGTCATAATCTGAGAGGTCTCCGTCAGGTGTTGTCAGTACCAATGAGAGGTTTCCTGAAAATAGAACTTGGAGGGTGGATCTTACTTCCAGACCTATTACTGAGCATTATGCCCTCCTGGGGGAATTTCAGAGAAGAAGACCCTTACTGTCCCGAAACTTCGTTCAAAATTGGGATTTCCGAGGCGCTGACCCCTCTCTTCCCGCACCAACAAATGGGCGCCGAGTCCAGCCCCTCTGACAGGCAGCATTCGCATCGAAGTGCCCGCCTTTTTTACTATACTAATATTCTATTTAAAGACACTCCCCGCGATCAAGTGGTCCTCAAAATGACTTCGTGCTTTTTGGAACCCTCTACGCCTTGACGAAGATGATACCACTTTCATCCCTCAATATGGCGCGATAAGGAAGTTATAGCGATTTCCACAAGGCTCGCTAGGCTCGCTGACACGGTAGGTGTCCGGTCCCGAGCTGCTTCCGTCCCTTTAAAGTATCCTATTTCGAAAGTCGGGACGCAATTGCGGCTGCCGCATCGATTTCTGGCAGCCACGTCCGGCACACTCGTCCAGGCCCCGCCCCCACTGCTAAAGGGAGGTCTGTGTTCAGGGTAATCGCGGGTTTTTTTCGATTTTTTTTCCACTGGGGGGTTACAAATGGGCCACTGCTTCGTGACTGAGCACCAATTACCCGAACACTTGATCGCGGGAATTGTCTTTAATAAAGCGAACATACTTCCAGTAGCGATAATCACTATCTGCTCCACGGAAACATCAATAGCGACTTGGTTGAAGACGTTCTGATTTGAGCAAATGGGCAGATCATTCGATAGTATTAGTTGCGCACGATAGATAGTGTTGTACATGTGCTCGTAGAGTAGCTGAAAATCAAGGAATATTAACTGCTTTACTCACTAGGTAGTCTTACTACTACTCGGCACAGTTCGGCTTAGTGGGGGCACCTCAGCGATGCTTGAATAGGTCACCTTGAAAGACCTGCATTAGTGTAACCAATGTGGGTCCAGCCCCATTTGGCTGCTTTAAAAGATAGGCCCTTACTAATTTCCCCCAATAAAGCCACAGAGAGGGCTCGGGCGCTGAACGTTATATCAGTCAATTAGCTAGTGGAATCCTAGTAGTGATCTCGACCAGCCGCAACTCTTTCAAATTTAATCAATTAGTTCTTATTCATTCTTATTCAAACACCTTTCAAGCAGCACCTCTTGGAATAAGGGACCACACTGTCGAGATTTTAATGGTTTCCTCAAAATTCTTACTGTGGGGTTTCAACTGCAAAATTGTAAATACGACCCCCCCCCATGAGATTGGCTTAGCGATGATGTACACTCCGAATCCCGAAAATAGGAAGGGCGTGGCTACGTACTTTAGTTGAAGATGGCGTTGTATGCGCTCTTGTGGGATAATACTATCTAAGACAATTGTCATCCGTACCTGTATCGGTTGAAGACGCTACTACAAGTGTCTAGAAACAACATTCTCACCAGAAGCGCAGTCGCCACCACGCTCAGTGGAACGATGCAGCCACGCCCTTCCTATCTGCGGGGTATGGAGTAAACGCTACTCGCATGCAGCTTCACCGTGACGTGAAGGAACCTCCCTCACTTCAGTGCCTTATTTGTCTGCATCTCCTCATGCTTCAGTGAAGGGGCTAACCTTCTGCACAGTTCTCTTCAGAAATAAGAAACATCACAGACCCTCCAGAAACCCATGACTCAGTGAGCCCTTCGGAGAGCTATTCTGAGGAGTTTCCTGAGTTCCCTGAAAACAAGGATTGCACAGTGCCGGTAGCGCTAAAAATATTATTTAGATGAAAAAATAATTATTCACCGCAGAGACAGGCGGGCTATTGACTCCAAAGTAGAATGTCATTCCTCCAGTCCGTTTCGCTAGTGAATCCATTGCACGATAGGCCGAACTCTCGATGGAGGTCGTGCAACCAGATGTGAGAGATGGTTCCAAGAAGATGAAATTCAACTGCAAAAATACTGGTAGTCAAACGAAACCCTGTTTCCAATGCTGAAACGGCCCTCTTTCAGCACAACATCGAAAGGTCGCATCTAAGAAGGACGAGGGATCGCTCATAAGATTCACATGCTTCCATAGGAAACACAGAAATCAAGTATAGCTCAACTTCAAAAAGAATCTGCAAGCAGAAGTGAACAAGCAGCTTCTTTGAGTATTCATCGTTCCACGGTCATCTTCTTACGTACCGCTTTCGACAATTTGGGCCCGTAGCGCTACGTGCCATGGTCAGATTTGTCAGAAGCTAAGATTTCAGCTATCTTACCGGCACTCGCAGGTAAGAGTCGACGTGAAATGCTGTCTCCATCTTGTCGATATCGTTTGGAAGTGCATCTGTGATCACATACACTTGTGAGTTAGGGGTGAGATATCGTTGAAGACCCGACCTGCAAAAAGTAAACATCTTTTTTTGACTTGTGCTAAACAGGCGTGCAGAAGCTAGCCGTGCCAAAACTGTGTCACAAGTAAAGGGTCGATCCGCAATCAGGTATAGAAGTAGAAAATGTGGCGTTGGGAGAGTAGGGTTCATGGCAAACAATCTTGTGGTGGTTTCGCGGTAAAAATTGTAAGGGACGGGCGCCACAGCGCAATAAAGGTTCAGTGACGCCTCCTTTTTTCCAGTGACTCCGCCTCCAGACTCCGCCTTCAAGGCCCGCCTTCCAGTGAAAAACGAAGCTGCCGGACGAAAAACATGAAAATCGGTAGAGTTCTTGTCGGGGAATCCTGTGCGGATGAGGGCGTAGTGTTGAGATGGAGTTCATTGGGCACGTACAAACTGGGATCGAAATGGGGTTCTATCTAGGGCAGGTGGCATGTTTTTTCTGCTTTTCTTCACTGTCGAGTTACACAGTACCCTTGCCGTCTATATGCGAACCCCTTTGATGGCAAATGATCGCGGGTTTTGCCTTTACCAAAAGGTAGGGCGCCTTCGCTGGAGCATGAGAACTTGCCATTCCGTAGGGACCACTTCGAGAGACTTAGAAAAAAGGGGAGGGGGCAGTTCGGCGACGGGAGGCTTTGCTACTTTCTATCAACGTGTCCAACCATCTAGATAGCCTTTTCTTGAGTTGACAGGTTTTACCATGGTGGCTCGACGAGCTTGCTCCAGCTTCACAAGAGTTCACAGGTTTCACCAGAGTGAGACTTGTAAACCGGAACTAGTGAAGCAGCGGAAGTGCAAAATGCCCTCCTCGCAAAAAATGCAACCAAGAGTGCCCATGTCTGTAATTCAGACAGGCAATGCATTCAAAATCCCCTATGAGAGGGTCGTATTTGGCGGAGACGGGCAAGAGATCGTAAATTGTCGCTTTGTCGCGCGCGGCAATGGGCGCGACGTTTCCTTGATTCATACTACCCTTTCGGTTGAAGAATAGGATTTTAAACAAAGACATGGAAGACACGTATGTCTATTTTGGTCATACATTGCCTGTTCTCGACCAATACCACCTAAAATCGTCGTCATTAGCGGGCGCGACGTCGCACGCGACGCCCACTGGCGCGGCGAAATACGATTCTCTTGCCACATACTCGCGGGGAGGGTGGGCATATTCGGCATGAGAGTAACCTTTTCCCACTGTTGGTTTTGACCTCTCCTAAGCACTAGATAGTTTCCTGGTCAGGGGCACCGAAAACTCACACAACGCTGGAGAAAACGATATCGGTGCAGTCACCGCTATCATCAATCGTGTTTGCCGCTTTGAGCAGATCTATCTCCATCGCTCCAAAAGTGTTATATCCTTGTGTTAGCAGGATTGCTGTAGAGAAAAATGCATTTTTTTGCAGGTAGTTATGAAAAGAAAGAGGTGAGACTCACTGTTATTATTAAAGAGTACGAGCACAAAGGCTTTGATGTAGTTCGGATCAAAGGCCAGTTCATCGACCACTCGCGAAATTGTTGACGAAACCTTAAAGGCAAGTGGCAGGATAAATCGACATGGCGTACAGGGTCGATAAGCCTAGCACGAAAGGATATTGTGCTACCTAGCAGGCGCTGCGTGCGCCTTTTCCAACCAAGGGCACCGTTATAGCGCCTAACCAAGGTGCAACATGCCGACCCAGACGCCCACTGCAACCGCCCGCCCACAAATGGCCGGACAGTCACATCGACGCTGGTACTCTTATCGCTTCATTTATGAAGTACAACTTGATATGAAGCGTTGCTACATAGATACATGAATACACGCGTGCAGCCGTATCTATCAAAGCGGCTTTTGGCACCATCTCGACGGGAAACTCGTCCAAAATTGCCTGTCCAATGCCGTTGAAGAACAAAGGCTTCTGGGCAGATTTCTAGCCGTTTAGATTCGCTTCTTTTTCTTTTTGTGCACCACGATAGCACCCGCTGCTGCCCAATTTAGAGCTAAGGTATCACAGTAGCGTGCCTTATGCCTCTAAGGGGGCGCAAGGCAGGATGTAGGGTAAGCTTCACAGCCGGAAAAAGGTAGGGACAAGTTGTCTCTTTCAGCAGTTCCAATGCTTTAACTGATCTCCGAACCAGTATGCCACAAGTAATCTACAGGTTTTCCTGCCATATCTCACCTGCGAAAACAAGATTTTCACGAGTTCAAGAAAATCCAATGAATTTCGTACAAGTGTGACCCCTAAACGTGTTATAAGTTCTCCAGGCCCCTCAAACAAAATTTAGGGGCGTAGATATCCGGCCTTCTTCGCGAGTTCGAAACAAACATTGCTGAGTTAAATTGCCCTTTCTCGAAGAATTCATAAATTTTTCAGTTTTATGATGTAAGTTAGAGAAAAGTCCAAGGAAAATTACCTCCGAAATAACACCATCAAGCTGTGCACGTGTACGAATGATGAATGTGAGGGTTGGTTGATTGGGATTGAAATCCTGTGTCTGAGTATCTCGACATACAACTAAAACAGGACTCTTTTGACAAAGCGGAGTATTCCTTTGCGGATTTTTGAGTTCTGATTGAAGAAGCAAATTTTGGCAATTAAAGCCTTCTCCAGGACAAGATGAATGAGAAGGGACCCGTAGTCCCATAAAAATATTTGTGAACATTTCCAAGCCATGGTAACGCTCTCCTTCGCAACGATCCCTTCCTTTCACCCAGACTTTTTGTTCTTGTAGCTGCAGAAAAGAAATGGGCGTGACTTACCCAAAGAGGGTACAGTTGTAGGGAGTCCCTTCAATGATAATCGTTCCAGGTCGAGGAAGGGTCGTATCTGGCCTTGATAGCATTTCAGCCACTCCGAAATTTGTCATGGCTATCGGCTTCTTTCATGTGCGCGTACTAAAAATAAGTACCCCTCCATACTCGACAGCAGTTTAGAAACGGGTTGGACTGGAATGGTTTGTAGAGAGACAAGAAAAGCGGAGGAAATGGTAGGAGGAGAGGATGGAGAAGGGGAAGGGGGTCATACTGAGAGCGCCATTTCACACATCCACGATGCGTGCTGTATCGAAAAAGAAGCGTAACAGAATAAGAGAAGCGGAGGAAATGGTAGGACGAGAGGGTGTACAGGGTGGCCAAAAAGGCTTCCTCGCCACTGGTGGGCATCTGCAGCATTTACATTACACAGGTTGGCCCTGCATAAGAAAGATTAGAGCTGGAATATTCCTGAGATGTTGCTCAAGAGCAGGTTCCTACAACAGTGTCACCAGTTTTGAGCAAGTGAAAGCATCCACCACTGCCAGTGAGCCCGAGGATCAAGGAGGTTTCCAGCCTAGTTCGCTGTGGATGATTGGGCGTGCGAAGGGGAATGGATTTGGCGCGCCGCCAGCCCTTTCTCTACCAGTTGTAGGAACGGGTTAGGGACAACAATTGGTGGGAAATGATTGATGCGATCTATACGGTAGAGTGTTGTCACTCGCTTCGAGAAAAAAGAAAATGAACGGTCTGGCACTGCACCAAAGCCATCTCCCCCATCTCCCTCATCCGCAGCGATCAAGGACTGTACAAGCACGCATGTTAACAGAGACTGTTGCTCTGATAATGACAAGGCAGGAAATTTCCACCTTTTTCGGACAAGGTCGCTACGACTCACACCCTGTTTTTCATGGCCCGACCCATAGGTCAGCTTTTTCCCTTTTTCCCCCACATCCCTTTTTTCGAATCTCTCTCTATCTCTCTCATTCTCTTTCAAGAACTCCTTGTTCTTGTGGCCCTTTGAACATCTTTTACTTATTTACTCACTACACCAGGACAGGACGTGCCCCTTTCCGACTCATCTCACTTTATACACAACAGACAAACATAACTATTGCTCTGAAAGATCAACTTACCATTTTCGCAGTGTGGACCATCATAGCCATCAGCGCATTGGCAGGTGTTTGAAGCCGTTGTGGTTCCTCAACAAAGATGTTTTGATCAAGAAATGGACGATTCCAAAGAGTTCCTTTTTGAAACAAAACTGTACAGATTTTGAATGGGGAACCAATACAGCGCTGCTGAATGTCAACTTTCAGAAAACGAGGCCGCAGTAAAAGACGGCACTCGGGGTAACACTACCAGCGGTCAGCTGACGCAGGAATGTATTAATTAGGTTGGCTAATAAGTAATGGCCGTTTTTTTCAATTGAAAAATTTGTTCGAAAAGTGCTTCTCGTAGTATAAGAATATCAAAAAAGCTTTGGTTGAGGATATAGTTTTTGTGAATTTTTTAGTCGTTGAAGTTG